GCTTGCAAAGCATCCCTGGAACCCCTAGGTGCAATCTTGAGTCAATGCATTCATTCGCTATAAGGACAGAATCCAAAATTTAACGACCCTTCACGAAGGCATTCTGAAATTTAGACACCACTTTCCTAAGCACCTCATTGAGTCTACTCGCCAAGACTTTCACAATAATCTTGTACACCCCACTAACTAGGCTAATAGGGTGAAAATCCTTAATATAAGTCATTAATGGTTTCTTAGGGATCAACACAATAAATGTTGCATTAGAACTTCTCGAAAACCTACCACGCTCAAAAAAGTAAGTGAAAACATTAATAATCTCATGTCGCACTACCTCCCAACACGCCTTATAAAAAGAGAATGAAAACCCGTTTGGTTCGGAGCCTTATCATCATTCATACTAAACACCACCTCCTTAATTTCATCCTCCCCAAATGGTCTCTCCAACCATCCGGCATCCTCCTCCGTAATAGTAGAAAACTCAAATCCCTCCAACTCTGGCCTCCACTCAAACTACTCCCAATATAGATTCTGGTAGAATCTCACCATATGGGTCCCAATATCCTGTAAATCCTCATAAGTAACCTCATATACCTCCCACACTGTGACAGAATTGTTGCGCCTNTGATAGAATCTCACCATATGGGTCCCAATATCCTGTAAATCCTCATAAGTAACCTCATATACCTCCCACACTGTGACAGAATTGTTGCGCCTGTTAGAATTGGCAACCCTATAGAAAAACTTAGTGCATTTATCTCCCTCTTTCAACCACGTGGCCCTAGATTTCTAGCGCCAAGCAATCTCTTTCATCCCACCAACCTCACAAGCTTTTCCCTTAATACACCACGTCTCTTCTTCTCCTCCCCATCCAACCCTCGACTCTCCTCAATCTTATCTAGCTCTTCTATGTCTGAAAGACACTGGACCTTATGAAAATTCACATTTCCCACTACTTCCTCATTCCACCTTTTTAAATCCCCTTTTAATGCCCTCAACTTCTGACCCAACACATAATTGGGAGACCCTGAAAAATCATAAGAAGCCCACCAAGTCTGTACACGCTCCCCAAAGCCTTCTACTTTTAACCACATCTTCTCAAACATAAAAGCTCTTATACCACTACCCCTAGTGTTCCCAGCCAACAAAATAGGGAAATCATCAGAATACACCCTTCCCAATCTCCTCTGAATAACATCAGAGTACTTAGCCTCCCACTCTCCGCTATCCAAGAATCGGTCTATACGAGATAGGACAGGTTGATCCCGATTCGAAGACAAAGTAAANACCTTTCAGTGGGAAATCGAACCACGTTAAATTCACCCCCAATACACGTTGGAAGATTCTACCAAACCATCATACCAGTCAACTCATCCCACAAGCCTCTTCTACTCGCATTAGAATTAGGTCCATAAACTCCTATAAACATCCAATGAAATCCATCTCCAATATTTCTAAGCGATAGTGAGTATATCCCTATACTAACATCCTCCACATCATACATTCTAGTGTCCCACATGATTCGCATGCCTCCTGATGCCTTCAAAGACCCCAAAACCTGATATCCAAGATGATGTCCCCCCATAAGCTACTAACCACAACCCTCATTAAGCCCCATCATTAAGACGAACTCCAATTTAGTTCCTTGCAAACAAAAAAGGTCCACCTTCCATCCCCTTAACAAATTTCAAAGACCTAATCTTTTCCCAACTTATTAAGCCCCATCACATTCCAACTAATAAGTTTTGGGGACATTTTAACACTCAGTCATCCATCTCCAGCAATCCTTTCCTTGACTGCCACC